TTCATCTTCTGGGTTCATTTCCAGAATCTTGCAGATATAAGAAAACATGAAATTTACCAATACCAATAAAGAACTCGAGAAGAACCTACTGTGGTAAAAGTTATAATTGCCCACACATTTATTTTTCTAGGAACTAAGCCATGAGAAATCGTAAAGATTGATTGAAGAAGGGAAACCAAGCTATCCACATAAAAAGAGAGAAATTACCTCAACAATATTCCCGACCAAATAAGGTAACTGCTTGTTGAGTTTAATCTTTTCCTGGTTTTCCTTTATTTTCTCCTTGAACGAATCCCACTCCAAATTCGTCCTCTGAAACTCTTCCTTCAAACTCAAAATTCGAACAAAATCAGATACCATCGCCAGTCATAAACAGATAACAGCACAAGACGCATACGAAACTAGCAAGTCAAAATTCATCAAACCTTCCGTCGATACAAAGATAGGAATAAGCCAATAAAGCACTTAAACACCAAAGGTACTTCTCGTTCACAAAATTCAAGGGCACGAAACTAATTTCTAAATGGAAAAATTAAACACACGCAGTTCAAATGCAACATCATCGGAGGAACTTCAACCTTATCAAATATGAACAAAGAAAAAAAAAAGAATAGAAAAATTCTGAGACCTTGAGGATCCGAATCTCGTTGTCTAGAAGACGTGAAGCTCGAATGATGTCGTCTGTGGTCATTGAAGCCAACTGGTCTTCTTCGAGGTTCGTATCTTCAGCCATAGAAGTCGCCATTTGCAGTCGAATCGAATGATGGATTTCTCGAAAAGTGAAGGCGAAAATTTCGCACACCGATTCTCAGAACGAGAGGAAATGAGTTGAGATTCAGAGGAGATGTTAGTTTGAAGTGTACTTGTTGAAGAAGAAAGAGGCGAGGACCAGTTTAAGAGGCCCCAATTCATGGGCTTGGGCCTTATTCGGCTACAAAATTTTTCATATATTCGTCCATGGGTTATGAAAAGGGTTTTGAGATCCCAATTTTACACTTTTTTTTTTTTTTTTCAATTTTAAGTCAACCCAATTCATTGTGATATTGCTGGTTATTTGATTCTAAAGACTGCTTTGGACTCACCAATAATCCTTGGGATTCATTAGCTATGCAAATATGAAGATATTTGATCCTCGGAGGTAAATTATTTATTTCCCCGTCTATACTCAATTTGACTTGTACAGTTGCGGTTAGCAATTTTTGTCACAACAAGTTTACTATAATGTCGAAAGCATTCATATTTTTTTTATTACGATAAATTTTGACTAAAATATATCAAATGAGCTCTAAGTTTTTAAGCCATTTTCTATTGGTTGGTTCTTATTTTTCAAAAATTCTCAATTAGGTAATTATTTCATTAAAAACTTGAATACTACCTGACATTTAAAATTCAACTCATCTTCGTCAGTTCATCAATAAAATTTATTTGTTTCAATTGGAATGGCGAAGATATTATTAATATTAATATTATATATAATAATTAATAATTATCAAATAATTAAAATATTAAACAGGATCGGAGATAGGGACCTAGTTTAAACACAACAAGAAAAATAAATCAGAACTTTTTCCACATAATATTATTGACATAAGAGATTGCAGTACTAAAAAGAAATCTAATAGATTGTAAATAAATAAAAAGTTTCAAATAAGAAAAACCCTAATTCTCTAGCGCTCTCCCTATCCATATTTCTCTCGCCCCACGACCCTCGACAGCGTATTCCATAGAACCAAAGCACAAATTTGCAGTGAAAGAAAGAGAATGAAACAGAAGCCAAAAACTAACCCCATGAACTCACATGTACAGCTTCTTCCACATCATATTCTTGAGATAATATTCTCCAAACTCCACATCATGTAAAGCATGGAACGACGTAGTTCTAGGCTGTGCTTCTTCTTCAATATTCACTCCAAACCCTTATTTTGTGTAGCATTTTTGAGATCTTCACATTTGGCAGTGGGAATCGCCATAACCAATGGAGGAGTTGCTGCATTCATAGCAATGCTATGATTCGTGTCGTGGTAATGGGGTTCATTTTGATGGAGCCCTCTATTGGGTTGGGGAAGACATAACGACCAACATTAATATATATGTCATCTGTCGTTTGGATGTTGAACAAGAGAAACTAATTGAACCAATTTCTCTTCCCAGAAATTCAGTTGGGTATTACTCCAATTTGGCTATTGGGGTTTTCATAGTGGCAATAATATTTATGCAAGTTTTAGTGGGATTCCATGGTTTACTTTTCAAGTGTGGATAATGGGGAAAGATTGATTGCTCGTGGATCAAAAACTACTCTACTGTTGATCAAAGTTTGTGAGGATGGGGAAATCTTATGTGTTGTTTATGGACTTTATTTGTTCATGTATAATCCACAGACTCGGAATATGGTAATTACTTCATGAGATTTAGCAGAAAAGGGTCATGGGTCATTCAGATTGAGTCTTTCAGTTTTGACCCTCTCGAAAAGATTTTGTCATACTTCTCTTTCTACGATAACATTTAGCAGAATATAAAATTGAGTGGAGGGGGCATTGGATTGGCTTGCATGGGTGTGAGTGCCTCGCTACCGAAAACATGGTCATTCTTCACCGCACTGCACTTTCCATCTTTACTGTAGTAGAATATAATAAATATATAAAAAAAGGTGACTTTAAAGTTTAAGATGATTGATCCAAAAATACATAGTTGTGATGAATACAATAACTTTTCAATATAATGCAATCAAACAAATTATTTGTTAGTAAAATTACTTGAAAATAAAAATAAAAATAACCAAACACGGTAATTCAAAATACTTTTATTAAAAAGTATCTTACCAAAAAATGCTTAAACTAAAATATGTCAAACTCACCCAAACCATGTTAAACTATCCCGTTGAATAACTAAACTCATTGTTTATATTGGAGCACGTGGACTAGACGAGGAATCAGATTACATATGTTGCGTATGGGAGTCGTGCTTGTATTTATAGGGTGAGATATAGTGGGTCTTCCACTATTGTAGTGTTAGACCGTAGGAGAATTTGTTACATTGGTTATAGACCACTTTATATACCTTACYTTGGCGTATAGCCTTTTGAAACCAACAGTTGTTTTTACCGACTATAATTAATGTGTCACTCTGGTCAAGCTAGAATAAGGCCGTCCACGGAATATTTTATGAAGTGATGGAGAGAGGTCGACGTGAGATGATCTTTCAGCTAGTCATATTTTGCCCTCCAACACTCATGATGCTCCTCTATGAAAATTGCATAATGCAAAATTAAATGATCATTCTGGATTCAATATCCTTACAAAAAAATTAATCACATCGGAGCGTTTTTCGATCAAATTTGATAAATTCCTTGATTGTGAAGTATGTGTTATAAATCTTCCGGTCGTTGATTGTTTAGAAATAAGTGTTTTTGGTAAAGAGATTTTGGCTAGTTGATACTGTGAACCAACCAACATTAATTACTTATATATTGCGTATGCCAATCGAAAATATATATTTTCTTTTTCATGAAAAGTCAAATAAATAGCAATATATTATAGCTTTCAAAAAAGAAAAATAGCAATATAATATAAATTGCAATCTAAAGATCACAACACAACGATAATGATAGAAGAATCGATAAATAAAAATAAATGATACAGATTTTTTAATTGCTAGCTTTGATTATAAAATGTTTATAAAAAAATAAATAAATATATACGGATAGACAAAAAGTGTGATAGTTGAGATTTGAACCTATAACCTCTAAATTGGGGATATAATCAGTTGAGCTATGTTCCCTTTTGCATAAATTTGTGTATATACGTATGTATATGTATATATACCATAACCTTTATGTTGTGGATATAACCAGTTGAGCTTATAATGTATGTATGTATATAAATAATTACGAAATGCATTGTATTGCTCTAAAACAAAAACCTTTTAAAAGATATAATATGTTTTTTCGATTGGAGATAACTCAACTTGTTAAGGCATAAATACTCTACCAAATGGTCGAAAATTTAAATTCTCATTTTTACATGTCGTTGAACTATATATATTATCATTAATAATGATAAGAAATATATTTTTGCGTTACGTATGATAAGTAAATATGATACTTTTTACAAAAATTTACGAATTAATGGTTGAGAATAATAAACGTGACTATAAATTATATTACATCAATTCTATAGGTCATTGTCAATTTGAGCACAACAGGGTAAGACATCTATCACCCATTAAAAAGTCATTTCGTATATCCATCTCTATAAATTGTATTTAATAAAAATTCTCTGTGTTCTTAAAAAAAAAGAAAAAAAAAAATCGATGCGTCCTCGCTCTTGTACAATTTATTTTTTATTTGCACGGGAATATTTTCCTTTTCTTTTTTTTTTTTTTATTATGTTAAGGGCAAGATTAGTTATTATGTTTCTTACCAGACGAGAAATTACATTATATCGTATAAATTTAATATAATATTTTATGAAATGTTACAATTTTTTATTTTCTTCCAAATACTACATAAGTTTCACTTTGCTAAAACAAAAATTTTAATAATTTAGCTTTTATTAGCTTAAATAATTATTTTTAATAAATTGTATTCAAGTTTTTTATAGATAGATTAACAAAAATAAACAAATATATAAATTATAGCAATAAATTAGGATTTTGGTCCAGACGGGATAAATAATTTATTTTGGGTCCGTTTGGTAACGTTCGTAATTTCTCGTTTCTCGTTTCTAATTTTTAGAAACATAAGTGTTTATCATATTTATCTTTTCTCATATCTTTCAGAAATATTTCCAAACTTGTGTAGGAAATTTAGGAAATTTTGGAAACAAGGTTTCTTGTTTCTTTTTTAGTTTTTTCCAACCGTCGAGCACGATGCGTTAATTTTATTTATTTTTTGTTTTTTGGAAGATAAAAAGTAATTTTTAGTTTATTTAAACTTTTTTATCATTCTAAAAGTCACGTTAAATCCACTACAAAATAAGTATTAGTAGTAAATGAGTTTTAACTTTCAAAAACTAGAAAATATAGATTAAAACTATTACCAAACCGACTCTTAGCAGACCATACAAATCAAAGTTTGGTAATTATATTCATTACACATACTAAAAGGAAAAAAAGAAAGGAAAAGAGATTCAAGGGTGATTTATTTTCCCATTTTCCACGTCATCGTCATCTTCTATGGCTCCCATAGAGTGGAAATCATATGGACCATAAGAAAGTGATCTCAATATATTCTGAACACTGTATTGCCTATCTATGGTGGGCTTGGGCAAGCTCAGCCCTTTGATTATGCCTTTGTTCTTCTGATCATCATCACCACCGTTCATTCCCATCTCCACCAGATGCGCCGATCCATCTTCCTCCATCGCCTCCGTTGATTTTGCTGACTTTGACTTGTTCCTGTAGATCGCGTACAGAATCAGCTGGGCCGACCCCAATACAAATCCTATTCCATTTGGCACCTGAAAATACAAAGGCAAAATTTTCATACACGAGATTCGAGAATTTTTTCAATTTAAACTCGATTGTTTAAAAGATTAATAATCTGACCTCAAATATGTATATCAGCATATATATTAGAATTGTTTTTTTAAGTAAAACAAGTGGAGGTGAGGATTCGAACTCTCGACCTTATAGTTGAATATGGGTGTCTTGACTAGTTAAACGATGTTCAGATTGACGAGCATATATTAAAACTACATATAGTAACTATAAACTTAAGCATAGCTCAATTGGTTAAGACTTATATCATCGACTAAAAGATTAGAGATTTAAATCTCACTCCCACACGTATTGTTATTAAACTAAGAAAAAAAGAAACATATAGTAAATCTAGGAGTGAAAATAAACTTTACCAGAATGTAGATGTCATTGACGAGGAGGGCATAAGCAAACCAAACACCGGCATTTAGGAAGAGGAAGAACGAGAGAAGAAATGGCATGTATTCAACGCTCTTTGTTCGTATCACATTTCTCTGTATCAAACATAGCCAAAAAATAATTAAAAATAATAATTAGTTGAATATTAAAGTATTTGATTAGGACATCAAGTACTTTCCATAAAGTTTTAAATGTTCTTTTCTCATCCATCGAGTTTTAAGAAATTTCAAATTCAGTCTTTGTCGTTGAAACTTTTAATAAAAAAAAAAAATAATACAACTCGTTTTTTCATCTTCCATCTTGAATGCTTATATATAATTTTTTAGCCATTTTTCCTTTTTTGTAACTTCTTTCTCTTCATGATTCAATCAGTTTACAGTTTTCTTAATCTCTAGGCGAATGATGTATAAGAGAACAAATCTCATATCTTTTTCTATATATAAATTATTAACTAAAAAGGATTAAATTATAAACTTCTTAAAATGATACGGACTAAACTATAAATATCTTGAAACTTAAAAAAATCAAATGTACCAAAATATTGGTTAACTTTTGAGACCATGCAAAAAAAAAAAGCCTATGACAAATAACATTTACTTCATCCTTCACGTTGATAATTATTTTTGGTTGATATATAATTATAGGAAAGTTGAGTTGCGACATTTTCATCGACATTAAAAATTAACTAAGATTAAGATAGGGTTGAGGATAGTTACCATGGCAGCTAGAGGAGAAGCATACATGCCAATGGTTAAAGCAGCACAGAGAATTCCAACAAAGGTGAGCCTCAAACTTCCATGGATGGCCAAAAGAGTTACTCCAATTACACTTCCACAGAACACAACATTGAACAGCCCAACCAACTTCATTGTTGACACCTAAAAATCCACAAAAATTTAAGCTATATATATATATATATAGTCATATATACACATACATATATATAATGTCACATGATTTATATACAGTTTTTGAAAATCATAAGTTTTAGGTTTAAATTTCTAAAATTTTAATCTTCTTTTCATACTTTCGTCCTCATAATTTCACTAGGTCCAAATTTAGTCCAATGTATGACAAATTATGAGGACCAAAATTAGAGGGAAATGGTTACTTCTTGAAAATTGAGAGACTAAACTTATATATGTTACTCCAGTGTATATACTCACGACAGCATCACGACAGCATATTGTTAATATATATTTAAAGTCATGTCATTCATTTATATTAGATTATTCAAATGATAAAATAACAACAATGACTAATATAATTACTTTTTAAAAATTAAAAGAGTATGTTAGATATTTTGAAAGTTCTAAGATTAAATTAGATATAACGAATCAAAGTAGAACAAGCCTAGCCAAAAGTTCGGAAAAAAATATTGAATTAGACCTTTTGAAAGTTCTTAGATTAAATTAGATGTTCTGAATAGGAGTCAAAATATAATTGATTTGGAGAACAAAATAAAATAAATTGAAATTTTATAAATTAAACTAACATTTAAACAAATTTAATATTTAATGAATATGGATACTTGAACACGACAACTAATATCATTTATTGCTATTTAATACTTCAATAAATATGATGAAATGAAGATATGACACGTAATGGGTGGTCATTAATGATTTTCCCCACATTATTCACTCTGTTTTTTTGGGATAATTCATTCTGTTTGTTTATGAAGGGAATTTCATAAATATCATACTAGAAATACTATATTATAATTATACCCGTCTATTTTTAAATTTGCAAAATTAAATAAAATATAAAATCCGTCATCATATTTAAAAATCTAAAAATTTCTCTTGATGTAGAAAATATAATTGTGCTCATATATTTAAAAAGGAAATATTTTAATTACGAGGTCGACTATCAACTGGATCATAATTCAACGGTTTAAGATACATATCTCCAATTAAAGAAGTCATGAATTCGAATTTCCACTTCTAATTATTATACTAAAAAATAATAATAAAACAATAAGTTGACTAAAGTTCAAACTTATACAAAGACAATAACATTCTTTAATTCTTTAGTTTATAAAGACAATAACTTCTCAAAGAAAAAGTTTCTTATATCCCTAAATTTTCAAGGTTAAGTCTCAGTGGGGTCTCTCTACTTTGAAAAATTTCTATTAAATTCTTAAACTTTCAATTATGTATCTAATAGGTCCCCATAATTAACTTCGTTAATTTTAACGCTAGGTGGCATATATTAACTGTATTATTATTTAATGATTACATAGAGGATAAGTTTAAATATGTTGTACATAAATAATATTAAACTAACCCAATTTATAATGCATGAACTTATTAGACGTAAATAAAATACACGGACTAAAATGAACCCAACCTAAAAGTCAAGGACCAATTAAAAACATTTTAAAAGAACATGAGCCTAAAAGACTCAACTCTCAAAGTTTAGCGACGAAACTTATATTTTGAGAATAAAGAATAATATCTCATGTCCTTACAAGGTCAGCACCCATATTTAGTTAAATTTCTTACAAATAAGAGAGAAAGAAGATAGAAAAGAAGATTTTTTTCTTTTAAAAAAAAAACAAAAGAACAGTCAAATTCTTAGCAACGATCAATAAGAAGATGGGTGCCTGCTCGGTAAACACCTAAATATTATTGAAATATAAAGGATGAATATATAATAATGAGAGAGAGAGAGGATGATGACCTTTTTGTGTTTGGGAGCATAGATGATAAAGAGAGTGACATAAGAGAGTTGAAAGGCCACACCAGCTCCATTGACAGTGGCCACAAGCACCCCACCTGGCTTCATCAACCCATAAAACGTCCACAAGCTTGTGCTCAACAGTGTTGTCACATATGGGATCCCTTTGTAATTCTCTGTTGATTTCTTCTTCACTATTCCTATGAATGTTTTTCTTCCATAAACAAACACAAATATATATCAATTTACTGCCCCTTCCATAACTCCGCTCTAATTGGCCACTAAAATTTTAAACCTAATGTTATATATATAAATACATATTCCGTTTGTACTAGTATAACAAAATTATCGAATTGTCCACAAAATAAAATAAATTAAAATCTCAATTGTATAATTCACATAGGCAAATCTCTATTGACGATTATAATTTGAAATAATAGTTGGAAACTAAGTATAAGTATACAGTAGGAAAAAATCAACTATGCACATGACCCGAACTTCAAAACTCTTAAGTAAAAGATTTTGCACCCGAACCAACTTCAGACTAATTAATTTCTCATATGAAATAACTTCAAATTTAATAATTCTACTCCTTTCTTCAAACACCCCTAAAGAATTAGAGCAAACTGCTAAGCTTTAGCTTTTGATATATTAGAGAGAAAGATAGAAAGTGAAGATAATTTTTTCTTAAAAAAACATAACTATCTATTTATCTATCTATTTTTTTATTTTTGAAACTTAAATAGTGTTTTTAAGATATAGGTAATAGGTTGTCTTCTAGATGTTTTCGAAATATATAGGTATATATAAAGTTAACTAGAATAATTTATTAGAAATAAATTGTGCTTTTGGATTTTTTTAAGTAGTTGTTTTTAAAAAACCATGTTGCCAAACAAATATTCTACATCAAAAAGTTAAGGTCCATTTAAAAGTCATGTTTTAATAAAGCAAAAATAAAATCATTTTCTAAGATAGGAAGTTTGTTTGGCGTCATAATTTTTAAGAAGGGTTTATATATATATATATATATATATATATATATATATATTTTATATATATATATATATATTTTTTTTTTGTTACTTTACTTCCACGTGTCTTCTATCTTATTTTGTTAAATTTACTAATTATACATGATATTTTAAAGTTAATATAAAACGAAATATTTTTCCAACCAGTTTCTTTAAATTAAAAAAATCAATCCATATCTAGAAACAAAAATCAATTTCAAAATATAACTTCCAAACCGTCTCTAAAACAAACCGAGTAAAGTTATTACAATTTACAAAGAGTATTATCTTTTTCTATTTCTTTCCCCCAAAAATAAAAAAGAGTATTATCTTTTCGGCCAAACTTTTAAAGTAAAAAAATAAAGCAAGCAAAAAATCAAAATAGCCATTAAATGCCCATTAATGAAGAATCCCGCTTCTCTCTATTTTGTAACGTAAACAACTCCAAAAAAAAAATAAAATTATAATAATATTCAACCACAGCTAAAAATTTGACAATTATTTATTATTTCGATACATATTATTTTCTAAAATAGTAAAAAAAATAATAAAAAAAAACTCGAGAGTTGATAATACTCACATGGGAGATGTAAAAACAAGAATTGAAATCACATTCCCTGCATCCAAACACCCCAAAAATCTCCATCAAAACCCAAAGGAAAACAAAGAAAATAGAGAGAGAAATAGAGAGAAAAAAACTAACCAATGATACCAATAACGAAGCTAAGAGTAATAGCCATGTTGTGAGTACTGCCGGTGGCCGGAGAAGAAGACAGAGCTGCGGCGGCGACGGTGGTGATGGCGGTGGAGACGGTGGTGGAGGGAATTAATTATTGAAGAAGAGAGAGAGAGTGGTGGGTGTGTGGATGATGTGAAGTGAGGGGTACGAAGAAAAATAAAATAAAATTTTTGGTTTTATAGATTCTCCAGAAATGAGCCCTCCACTAGAATTGAGCCACGTTTATTTTGCTTTTTGGCAATGTGTTCTTGGACCCCTGTTACTTTCCTTTGTGAAAATGAAGTTTTACCATTACTATGCCAAACAAATGTTTGTGTTAGGACATGGCGTGCAAAATTACGAAGGGCATTTGGTTTACGAGTTGGATTTGTCATCGATTCGTTTGCGAAATCAAAGGAGTGTTGGAAAATTATTGAAGGGTTCGATAGACTACTCATGATTATTCGATAATAATGAAGTTATAAATTTAAATACATATATATTGAAAGAAAAATTGAAATCGAGTGAGTAAGTAGCCAACATAAGCATAACTCAATATAGTTGAGATTAGATGTTCAAATCTTCCGACCCCACTATCTTTGATGTACTGAGAAGAAGAAGAAAAATCAAATAACTGACTAAAAAATACAAAAAAAAAAAAAACGTTATTAGATTTTTCTAAAAAAATTTCCTCAACTACGTAATAGACATAAATAGGACAATTTCGCTCTCTTTTGATGAGACATCGATCTTAGCGTATTCTATGATCTCTCTCGAATCTTCAAGTTATTATATGTGTTCAATCAATTACACTGCCTACTCTATGAGAAAGGTGCACTTTAATATTACTACTGTATATTTATCATCATACCTAAGTTTTGACTTATTTACTTTTATTTAATACAACAAAGTCTTAGTCCAGTCAAATCGAACATAACCCAACTGGTTAAGGCACTAATTATCTCAAATCAAAAAAGCGTGAGTTCGAATTCTCACCCCACATATTGTACTAAAAAGAGCAATAGTCTATCCTTTCGCTAGGTTGATTATTCTCTTTTTTTTTTATTTGTCATTGTCTCTCCCTTATTCTAGATTCTTCTTTTGTCTTCAGACTCATAATTAAAATAATTTAGTATCTTTATTGATTGAGTAGCACAAATTTGGTTGTCTATTTCATTACTATCTGCCTTATGAATTAATTAATATATTACGAATTCTATGGAAGGCTAAGAAATTGTTTGAGCCCAAAGAAAAGTTTCTCTACAATGATGCTTTGTGAGGAGGGTGGATTGAGTCATTTTGTGGTGGGAGTTCATTAATTATGAGAGAGAGATATATATATTACCTTTAATTTGGACTCACTTGGAAATTTTCAAAAAAATTTGTTAAACTTATAATTTAAAAGGCAGAAGATAAAGAAAAGAAGAAATGGTACCATGCATTTTGGACTCACTTGAAAAATTTTTAAATTTATTGTCCTCCAATTAAAAAAAAAACTTTTGAAATCACCAACTTTTATCTCTTGTTGTTTTCTCTATTCCTATTATCTCCTTTGGTAAGAGAGATATTTACAAAAGGGGGAAAGAGAGAGAGTAGCTTTGGTAGGTAATCTACAAAATCAATTCATAATCCAAACTTGGTTTTAGGGTAATCCATACTATATTTAATTAAACTAAAATGGATAGTTTCTATTATGTATTTTAATATTTAATAAGTTCAATTCCTTTCTTTTTCATTGAGGAATCAAGTAGATTTTTTTGTTTAGTAATTTAGTAAAAAAAAATCTATACAAAATCAAGTTAAACTCGTAATTTAATCATCAATGTCCGAGATTGCCAAATATGAAAATTATACATTTTTATTAAATCATACTATATTTTATAATAAAATTAATACACATAGGAAATCGAGTGTGTATTGTTAGTAAGTTAGTCAAAGAAAAAAAATCTATACAAAATCAATTTAAACTCGTAATTTAACCATCAATGTAGGGCTGGCGAACTATGAAAATTATACATTTCTATTAAATCTTACTATTTTTTATAATAAAATTAATACACGCTGTTTTTTTTTTAATAATCCACTTTTTCTTAAAGATGATACAACGTTATAATTACTCAATTATGTTCAAATTGACACATAACATGTGAATTATTGTGATTGGCATATCTCTAACTACAAGAATATTCTTTTGGAAAAACTATAAGAATATTATAACTAATTTTGAAATATAAGAGTATGACTTATTTAAGAGATAAATTTGTAAAAAAAAAAAAAGATGTATTATAGTTAACTTAGTGGTAAAAAGAAATTAAGAACATGTATCTACCTACTTATGGTTTTTAAAAATTTTATTTGCTTCATCAATATTATTTTTTATTGTTTTTCTAGGTCATTAAGAAAATGTTTGCTGTCATAGTTGAGGTGGTTTGAGACTTTCAAAAATATCTTGAGATCTTGTGTTCAAGTCACATGAGACGCAATTTTGCAAAGTAATAATCCCTTTGTATATGTACGGGTATGATATATATATATTAACATTTTGTGAAATTTTTAATTATTATTTCTTTTTCTTTTTTTCTTTCCTCGTCTTGGTACCTCAAGATTTAATCTAAATTTGAAAATAAAAATGGTTTCAAGAGAAAGTTATCAGATTTAATTTTCGTTCTAAGAAAAAGAAGCTGAAGAAGAAAAATTATACAAAAAAATGTATATTCAATTCCGTGGCGTCATAATATAAAAAAGATGATTAAGAGAATACTATATCAATTGACACGATATTTAATTATATGACTGTTATTTTAAAAAATTGTATCACTATTAGTTCAAAGTTAATGTGAAATTTATTAAATAAAGTTTTTTTTCCAATAAAAAATTGGAAGATCCAAACCTAGAAATAAGTAATGTCTTTAACTTATCATGCTTATATCAGCTGCTAATAAAATGATAAATAAAGTAGTGATATAATTTAATATCAATAACAAAACTATAGTTTGAGGATTGAATTTTCCTCAATATTATATCGATACATAAATTAATTAAATTAATATTTTCATCTACGTAATAACATAGGCTTAAAATTCATTTAAAGTTTTTGACTCTCATTCTAAATGCTATTGCCAGGTGAATAATAATGAGGCGATCAATAGAAAAGCATGATTAATTATCAATTGAAAATTGAAAATTTTGAGGTAAGTAATAACAAAGGAAACCAAATTCAAATACCTCTCTTTCGTGTTAAAAGTTTGATTAATTTAAAGAGTTATTTGGTAATTATTTGATCATATTCTTAAATCTTAATGCATTCTTTTTGGTTTATATCCTATTTAATTCTAACTTTCCAATATTTTAGTTTTTAAACTTTTACATTAAATACTATATTTTAGGTTATTGGTTTTTAATTATTCATTAATCATTTAACAGGGCTTAAATCCATTTAAATAACCATAGCCCCTAACTTACCTATATTAAATATTTTGGTCAAATAAATGGATAAGAATTTGAAAAAAAAATCAATCAAAACAGTAGTTCGATTGATATGATATCTATATATATAGTGGGTATGTCAAAGTTTTGTTGAATAGTTTAATAAAAAAGTAATGATGTAATAATAAAAATCATATTTTTAGGTAAAGTTCATGAACTAAAATGTAATATTTGAAAATTTAGATATCAAATTGAAATAAGTACGAAAGCTTTAACTATAACATGTATATACCTCATCGACAAATAAATTTTGTGGCTTCACAATGCATCTAGAGGGCTTTTTTTCAAAGAATCATAAAATAGTCCTACTGGACGTGTCAATTTGTTCGTAAGGAATATTTGGTGAAGAGAAATTCGAGTTTAATGAACTTGTATTTGTAATTATGTACAATCTCTAATATGTAATGTCGATGTTTTCTCTTGGGTGTAAACTTGATTTGAGAGCTGAAAAATTTGTTCTCATATCAAAGAAATTGATCGTGTATTTGGCTTCTAACTAAGCTTGTTGAAGGATGTTTGAGATCTTCGACTTTGAGCTGGTTGAATATATCTATGTTATCCTATTTTTGTTATAGAAAATGAATAGTAATAACCCACAAACAAAGAACAACTTAATTATTAAAGCTGAGGCATCCCTCTCTCTTTTCCACCTTTTTGACCCTTCTTTACTTAGTGGGTTGCAGGTCCAAATTGGCACAAGAACATGGAGTCGCCGACAAAAAAAAAAAAAGACATTTTTTATTTTTTTAGATATCTTACTATTTTTTTGTAATTTCACAAATCCAGAAAGGAGTTTTTCAATCCACAGTAACTATGTATATATACACACACACTTTCAATAACATTTAAATAATTGATTTGAATATTATTTTTGTCTTCGAACTTTGGACTTTAATTTATTTTAATATTTGTATTTTAACTTTTGTTTGTTTTACTATATATGCTTCCGAGATGTATATATTAAAAAAAAAATTGATCGTTTTAGTCTCTATTTATCAAAGTTTAATATAAATTTTATATACAGTTAAAATACAAATATGATTATATTTCAAGAAATTTAGTCAATAAAGTATTGTGCAAATATTATGATAGATAGAAATGAGATAAAAATGAAAATAAAAGGTTTAAGATGATTATCTTTTAAAAGTACAACGACCAAAATAGACGTTTAAAAAGTACATAGGAATAGAATATTTGAAGGGGATATTGACTTTTTTTTTGTCCTAGTCTTTCTTAACACCCTTTTATAACAAGAAGAATTAGTTAAATGAAGTATTTTTCAATCTCGTATTTAAAAAGAAAAAAGTGACTTCAAACTTTTAAAATTACTATTTTCAGTTTGCATTTTTCATTTTTCTAGAATAATTATTTTGGTTGTTGCTAAACTAGAACTATAAACTATTTATTTTAGTTGATGTACACGTCACAATGACGCTAAAAAACCAAAAATAGTAATTTAAATAAATATAAAATTAAACAAACATATTATACAAAACAGATTTTTTTAATTTTGGAAACCAAAATTAATTAAATCTAAAAGATTTTATAGGCTAAAATAGATATTTCAAGAGTTTTCAAAATAAGATTTAAACTAGCCCAATCTTTTGAAAAAAAAAAAACATTTCTTGAAAATAAAACTCTTATTCAACTCTATTATACAAAACACATTTTTATTCAATTTTACCATTGAATCTATATAACTTTTTGTACTACCTTACTTCAAAAAAAAAAAATTTTAATTAATTTCAAAAGAGGAGATCCCCACATTGAAGAAATGGCCACAAGTGGTTGCACACTCTCCTTCCTCAAACTTCAAATTCTTCCAAATATATACGACAACCTAAGGTCAACAGTTACCAATTTAAGGAAATTGGGTATGAGTGCTTTTTTCTTTTTTCTTTTTATTTATTTAAATTTAGACAAAGTACGAAATAGACCAAAGTTTTTTTTTTAGAAACGAAATATACCAAGTTAGCTTGGTTTGATAAGTATTTCTGTTTTTTATTTTTGATTTGTCGTTATTAAAAAAATAAAAAAATCATACATGTCCTTCGATCACTTCTTTTAAAATAGAAACCAAATATGTTTCAATAATTTTTTTGTCTTTCTTCCTTTTTCTTTAAATATTTAAAGAGTCTAAGAGATATGTTAGAGGGAGAAAAATTATATTAAAGCTGAGCCAAAACGACTTTTTATTAAAAAAAAAAAAAACTCTTAAGTTGCACAAAATTAAATTTGACATAGAATTTTGAATATACAAACTAAAAAAAAGAAATAAAAATAATAACAAAACACACTTCCATTTCTTTCTTTCTTCTTTTCAAGTAAAAAGAAGAACAAGAAAAGTGATAAATAGGTCCACCTGAACTTAACTTGAGTGTTAGACATGACACTTAGGAAAAAAATATTCCCAAAAAATATTTCCCTTAAGTTTTGATTAATGTTAATAATCTTTTAATATTTAAACACCAACATTTTCTATCCACATTTAAATTTGATTATTATTTGCCTTCTTGTCACATACTAAAAGACAATATGTGGAATGAGAATCCAAATACACGATTTCTTAATATTAATCTACAAAAGATCCGGAAGAAAATTGATTTTGAAATAATATGATATTTTTATTTTGGTCATAATATCCGTTATGTCATCCAAATTCATTTTATAAATCAAATTTATAAGGTATTCTCACTTAGAACTGAATGTGTGTAATAGCTTCCCTGTTGCAATCATTACAAACAGTAAATAGGTTGCTTGCGTCGATGATATGGTTTGGTTTTGGATAGATTTATTTACCAAATTCTTGGCATTGGTCCTTTTAAATATTTGGGATAAAATAGGAGTCAAATCAAACCAACAGAATTTAGGAGTATTTGACTCATAAATTTAGTGGGTAAAATTTGAAGTTAAGGAATTCAACTTATTATATTGTTTCACCGATTCCATGTTTCTCGACGAGGGGATCCGTTGCAGGCTCGTATTCTACCTATAACAAAACTCAAAACTATATTTATGAACATTTACTTTTTTATTATAAAATTATATTAAATAAGTTTGAATTCAAGTCAAGATTCAATTCAACTTTTAAATTTTCTCATTATTATATTTTATAAAAGGTAGATTTTATCACTAAATTAAATTGATCTCATAATTTAGAGATTACCATCTGCCCCTATATTTGGTTGTCAACCAAACATATAGAAAAATAATTCTTAGGTAGGTTGAAATTGTTCCTTCTAAATTCGGTTAACAATTTTATTTTTATTAATTAATAATAACTAAATAAAACATTAAATAATTGATAAACGATAACTAATTAAAATTAATAGTTAACTAATGGAATATGAATTCTTGATCTTTATAAGAAATAAAAACAAAACAAGATTAGCATAACCAATCTATTTTTATTAGAAGAAAGACTATCGAGAATATAAATAAAGGATAGAAATTAAATCAATGAAGAGAATTTTGCAAAAAAAAAAAAATATATATATATATATATATACATATATATATATACCTATACCAAGAGACACATGCTCCTGCCTCATGTTCTTTCTCAAAATACGACAAGTAGGACCATGTTGGGAGACACAATTTAAACATGGCATAAGTCGTCTTTTAAGAGACAATCTAGTGCAATAATAAAATATGCATTATTTTAAAAATTAGTTTTGAAACTTGTAATATTTATATATATATAAAAATAGTTATAATTTTAATAATATTAAAAGGAAAAAGTCCAAGTTTATGTGGTGTGTTCAATTAATTGATTCAATTTCTATATCATAGTACGTAAACACAATTGAAGGAAATGAAAATTTTTATTTCATTCCTTCACCCCTATTCTCTTGGAGTAAAGAGGACATAAGAGTATAAAAACTACTAATGATTCAAGTTCAAGATAAAAAAAAAATTGACTTATTTAGTTAAGTACATGGCAAAAATAATTGATTAAATTATAAGTTCGATCATGAACTTTCAGAGTTATGTGAAATAGGATGTTTGAACTTTAAAAAATGTCTAATAGATTCTCAAACTTTTAATGTTATGTTTATGCAATAGGTTATTTAACTTTAACAAATATATATCAGAGTCTTAAACTTTAAGTATTGAACCTAACAAATCCTTAAACGTTCACTTTTGTGTATGATGAAACATCAGCTAATTAGATAGTTTTTATAAACTCCACAAATTTATTAGATACAAAATTAAAAGTTCAAAAATTTGTTAGACATTTTTTTAAAGTATATAGACATAAAATTAAAAATTTAGAGACTTTTTTTAGTCAACAAACATGGGTATGAGGATTTGGAATTCTAACCTCAAGAGAATGATTAAATGTTATTTACTGCTGAATTATGTTCATGTATTAAACATATAAATAGTTTATGAACATGTTAGGTATAAAACAAGTTTAGGAACCTTATAGATATACCATTGAAATTTTAAAAACCTATTGGAGGGTTGTTCTAATAAAAAATTATTTTAGTTCAAGAAATTTTATTTTAATTATTTATTATTTATCAATATTAAATAAATTACTATAATAAAAAAAATATTTACTATCAATAAAATATCACTTATCTTCGACCTGGATATCCGCGGCTACATATTCTACTTTAAAAAAGCCCTAGAGCCTATCGACGTAATTTCGCAAGGCCCATAAAGCGAAAAAGAACCCATCACTCACCATGTTAAGCCCAAATTTGTGGCCCATGATCTCCGACCGGCTTAATTCTTAAGCAGCTGCTGCCCGCCGGTCAGTAAACTGTTCTCAGCTTCCTTCCGCTCACTCTCTCTTCCGATTTTCACATCGATACTCTTTGGGCTCCCAGCAATCGTCTTACATCGTTTTGGAGTCCTGTCCTAATATAATCTAGGGATAATAATCCACTTCCTTTCACATTTACCAGAATTTTCTTCAAATAATTCTCTGGCATCATGTTCAAAAAGTGAGCTCTCTCCCATATGTATATGCTTGTTATTTAGCTGTGATTTTATGTTTTTGTTTGATGATTGTGGTAAATGACTTCTGGGTTTTGTTTATTGGGGTTGAAATATGGGAAATGGTCAGATTTCTTCACTTATTCTCAATTTTTTTTTTTGTCACTGGTTTCTGGATTTTGCTCGAATAGTGTTTTCTTTCTCGTTTTAATGGCGGGTCCGTTTGTGGGGTTCCGTATGTTTAATTTACCTCATTGATCACGCCAGGATTTTACTTTTAATTCTCCTTTGATGTGTTTCTGGGCTGGTGGGGAAGGAACAATTGCGACTGAATTTGAAAGTTTTGGAAATAATGACCCAATCGATTTGTGAATTGAAATTCTCTCAGTTGGTATTTTTTGCGTTAGGCTGTTTACTTCTGGAGTTGGGTATTGGTATTGATTCCCTCCCCTCCTCCCCTAGTGGTGTTGCTTGTACGAATCCTTCATTTCTGTTCCTTTTTGGTGCTGCGGTTTCATTTTAGGTTTTCTACTGAAGACGTGTCTGCTCAGAACCAAGTCAAGGCATCAGTGCAACGGAAAATTCGGCAAAGTATAGCTGAAGAAGTAAGTATTTAAGTTGGTCGTTCGATTCTCGAGATCATACTAATGAGCTAGAAATTGATGTCTCTATCGGTTTTATGTATTTTTATTGCAGTATCCTGGGCTAGAGCCAGTCTTGGATGATTTGCTTCCTAAAAAAGCCCCTCTGATTGTAACTAAGTGGTTAGAGATTCTTTTTGCTTCTATTTTACAAAAAATGATTGGAATTAGATTTATTTGTTCTGCTTTGTTGACGCCACATGTTTTTGAACTACTCTTACAGTCAAAACCATCTCAATCTGGTTGTTGTGAATAATGTGCCACTCTTTTTCAACATCCGTGATGGACCATACATGCCTACCCTAAGGTTGCTTCACCAATGTAATGTATTCTTTCTCTGGGGACTGCATTTTATCATTTTTTCAAATATATTGAATATCCTTAATCTTTTGTCAACCCTTTGAACTTCTCCTGTCGTAGTACTTGTTTTAGGGTATTTTGATTTCTAATATGCCTGTTAATTTGAAGGAGACTAGGATGAGTTTGGTATGACTTTTGGAATGGTGAAATCTTTTAGCTTATTTAAAACACTTTTTATAATTTTCATGATGTTTGGTTACATACTTAAAAGTAATTTTGAAAATTCTAAAGAAACTTAAAAGTACTTTAAGGTGATTTTAGGAAACATTTGTTCTAAAAGTACTTAAAGAAAAAGTAATCGACTTAAAAGCACTACTCCCAAAAGTCATCTCGAACTTTTGAGAGTGGATCTTGATCATTCGAGGATCATCATCATATCCTTTGGAGCTGTGAGTTTGCTTGTTCAATATGGGATTGCTTTTTAGTTTTTGGAGTTGTTTGGTTCTAAATAGAGACTGGCATTATGATGCATGAGGTTCTTATGTCTCTGGCTTTTCATGATAAGGGCTGGATCCCTTTTTTTTCCGGTTCCATGGTGGGGCATTTGGCTTGAGAGGAATAGTAGGACTTTTAGAGGGATTAAGAAGTTTTTGAAGGATGTTTGAAACTTCTCTTGCTAGGTTTAACACTTCTCTTTAGGCTTAGGCTTACTAAGGATTTTTGTAATTATTTGCTAGGGCTTATTCTTTGGTTAATGCCCTTTTTGGTTTATTTTAATTGGCGTGTTTCTTTTTGTTGGGCTGTCTTTTTGTATTCTTTCATGCTCTCAATAGAATCTCTATCGCTTATATATATATATATATATATAAAGAATCATCCCGAACTCACTCTATGGATTTCCCCCTTCATTTGTGATCTTGACTACATTTTCAATTCTTTTTGTGGATGAAAGAAGATGAACCATCTAAAAAGAGTCATCCCAAACTCAACCTATTCTGAGTTTTAGTGGAAGGCATCATCTTGTTGAAGCTATAGTCTAGGCTGTCTAGCTACTCTTACAGTGTGCACATGCGTTTTGAATCTTTTCTGCAGTAACGATCAAATTTCTGTGTATCCTTGTTTTACCAGAGCTTCGGTTATTTTCTTAATTAGTTTGAATTGAATCATGTGGATGATCAGATAAGTTAATGTTTGGATTTAATAAAATAGGAACTATTTCAGACTAATATAAAAAATCTGATGTTCATTTAGTGCATTGTTTGATTGCCTTTGTTTAAAAAATTACCGTTTTAGTGAATAGAAAGTATTATGTTATTATATGTGGTGAGATCACATTGCTCGAGTTTGCGGGAGTTAGAATCAAAGGGGTGTGTGTGAAAATCCAATAATAATTATGAGTAGCTTAAAATTATGAGGATTTAGAATACTTGGACGTGGTTTTGGGATGGAAAGGGTTCAGCCAATAATAGAGATCATGGATCTTCAGCTGATTGTCTGTAGCTAATTCATCCATTGATACTAGTGTTCAAATTTAGCTAAAACAAACACAGAATACAGTTACAAAATTCCCATTGATACTAGTATTCTTGGTTGTAGCTGCCCTTGGCCATTTATCACTAAATTTGAATATAATGTAAGGTTCGACCTCTTTCTTCAAAATTGGTTGGCTCAAAGTTATAATTTTGGAAGATTGGTGGCTTATAAACATTCTGTCACTTTTCCTCAAATTTTTATGGCTTAGCTAATAGGGCACTCTACAAGCAATCAAGAAGTTCGGAAATGAAGAGTTGGGTTGCTGAGAATCTCATCTTTGTCTTCTTAGGAAACATATCCTTCCAGATTTAATTGCATTGATCCTTTGGAAAATGGGTGGAAAGGCTTTGTAATTTTGCCAACCGATAATTTTCATGAAACCATGTTCAAAAAGTCTCCACCAATTGTACTTTCAACTCCGAACTAGACGACATATATTCTCAATCTTCATTGAGAACATTGTAATTTTCCAGCTTCTTTTCATCAAGTTTCTTATAAATGATAAAAGTTAGTGAGTGTTGAGTAGGGTAATGATAAAGGTTCTCATCCATCCATTTGTCTTCTCAATGAGAGGTTTAAGGCCCGTTATGCCCATTTAGTAATGTTTTCATTTTTTAATTTTTTGTTTCTCGTTTCTAGTTTTTAAGAAATATAAGTGTTTGGTAGCGATTCTTGTTTCTCCTTTCTCATTTTTAAGAAATGTTTTCTAAATGGTGTAGAAATTTTAGAAACAACAAAATCAAGGGCCCTTTGGTAACGTTCATGTTTCTTGTTTCTGTTTCTTCATTTTTAATAAAGAAAAATGTTTCTTGTTTCTGTTTCTTCATTTTTAATAAAGAAAAATGAATTAGCAGGACCTCAATATCCATGAATTCAAGTATGGTAAGACAATCTTTTTATTTCTATTTTGGAACAAATTGGAAATAGGAAAAAATTGTAACCATTTCCTTCGCTACGAACTAATATGCTGTTTATAAGTATTCCTAACTAACCCAATGGCATTCCCATAATCAACTTCCTTGTTAGCAATCAGAATTGGCCAATAAATGCAGTTTGGTATTAAAAAATTGTACTAGGGAGTACCTTCTTTAGTCTTCTAGAGAAGATCTTAGCAACTATCTTAGAATGTCCCGTAGTTTACTAATGGGCCGGAAAATTTTTCATGGAACAGCCTCCACCATTTTGGAAATGAGGTAAAGGAAAGTTGAGTGGTTTTGTTAAAAATGTCACTTTGAAGAAGGTTATGGAACATTTTTGTAAGATCATTTTTTATGATGCAACAGATGAATGTAATAGTTTTTCTTAAAGAATCTACACACACATATAGCATTGAGGCATTAGAAGCAACAAGACTTTTGGTAGTAGAAAGAAAAATCTCCTTAGAGAACAGTTCCAGATTCACACAATCACTTCCTCCGGGGCTTAATTACACACCGCTTGAGCAAATGTTTCATATTTAAACTCTCTCTCTCTGTCACACTCCTCTAAGGGCTGTCCGAGCCAAGCAAAGTACCTTGATCTACCTAATATTTTAATTACCAAGCTTGTGTTTCTACTTCATTACTGAATTCTATCATTCTGAAACCTCAGTCCGTGAACATGACTTGTATCATCCCATTTGGTTTGCAGATCCTAATATTATGAAGAAATTACAAGTAGACAGAGGTGCAATAAAGTTTGTCCTTGCTGGTGCTAACATAATGTGTCCTGGTCTTACATCCCCTGGGGGTGCCTTGGACGACGAAGTCGAAGCGGATACGCCTGTGGTAAACTTTTTTCGCTCTTTTCTACTGACTCAATATCTCCATTGTTGATTCACGTTGTGTTAGTTGGCTCATGGGTGATTACCACATTTATTTGGTAGGTTTATGCGATTTGTTTGAAAAATAACTTCTTGTAATTGATTATGTTTTAAAAGGCTTTTGAGGCTTACGCCTTGAGGCCCGCCTCGAGGCAAAGCTCTAACTTTTAGCCTCAAGGCTCTAACTTTTAGCCTCAAGTCTTACGCCTTATTTGGACTATAAGAGGCTTACGCCTCTTTGAAAATGCACTGAGGCTTAAAGTATACGCCTCGTGTAATGATTACAAGAATACTATTAATTTTTCCAATTCTTAAAACATATCAAGGTTTTTTCTTTATGGAATCCTAAGCAGGAGTTGTAACAATTCAATCTATTACTACTTTTACTACCTATACTTTAAAAATATTGAAGACAACAATTTATAGAATAAGAAAGTTCTATTGGTGATAATAGTAGTGATGTTATGATGTTTTTTTAGAATTTTTTTTTAGTGACAAGTAACAGGTGGATATTTTGATAATTTTATATAACTATTATGTTTGGTAATACTTGACCACACAAATTTAGGATTTGTTTAATTCTTTTAATTAAAATTGAGGCTTACGCCTCGCCTTTTCAAGAGAAAAAGCCTCGAGGCCGCCTTTAGCCTTTTAAAACATTGGTAATTGAGTCAAACTTTTTCAGGCAATAATGGCAGAAGGGAAGCAACATGCTCTTGCTATTGGCTTCACAAAGATGTCAGCCAAGGAAATGTGAGTAAAACTTTCATCCAACAGGATCCTGTTTGATAGTAATTTTGTTTTTAATTCTCGTCCTTTTATACTTCTATTGATGTTTTTTCTTTGTTTAGTTTTTTCTTTACCCACCTTTTTAAAGTTAGACAGCCATATTTCAGAAGTAATAAAAATATATATTTTAAAAAATAATTTTCGAAGTAGATTTGAAAACAAAGAAAAAGCTTATAGATAGAGAGATCATTGCAACTGTATCTACTTGCTTTCAGATATGAAATGCCAAGCAAGCCATGAGGGCATTGGAGTTGAAACATCCAACTTGTGGATTGAAGTATTTTTATTGAAAAATAAATTGAGAGAACTGTCAAAGTTTGAATCTTAATTATTTTCAAAAAAAAAAAAAAAATCTGCATATAATGCTCATTAGTCACCTGACAAATCAACATATTTTAGCAAAATACATACTAATGTCTCGACGACGTGGTCTCAGATAAAGCCAAACTTTTAAATATGCTTTAAGCTTAAGAAAATTACTCCTGTGCAATTCACAGAAGGGCGACAAACAAAGGGATCGGTGTGGACAATATGCATTATCTTAACGATGGTCTTTGGAAGGTACGTTATAGACTTATACTTCTCTCCCTTGTTTCTTCATACTCAATATGTTGTCTCAAATGAGGAAATATATATAAAGTGGCCGAGTATAGATGGTTGAATGTCGAAGTTATTTCTCATTTTCGGTGCAGATGGAACGACTTGATTGAGGATATCCGAAAGAAACCACACGGGGGGAGGGGAGGCGACGCAACTTAGAGAACCAACTTTGTTTAACTTCATTCTGTGCACTTTTTTGAGTTTCTCTGTAATGTTGTGTGGATAGAAATCAACAAGGTGGATAACAAGTCTTGATCTCCTCATTATTTTTATACTTTTTGAGGAGAACCAATTTCACAATTGTAGTTAAAATCCTTTTACAGTTTCTTGTGAATGTGCTCAATTGTCATTGGCCCTGTTTCATGGTTTTCTATTGATATCTTTTTTTTTTCAAGAGTTAATTTACCATAGAGTATATTGCTGGAGTGGTCAAAACTGTAGTTGTAGGTCCTTCTCCTTTTGCTGAGACGGCCTTTTTTTTTTACCGTGGCACGAAATCATGAATTCTTTTTTGTGAGCTGCGAGTTCGAGAAAATTAATTTGAACTTTAAAAAGTGTTATCAACTCGTGTTTAACACTTTTTTTTTTCTAAAGAGATTTTTTATTTATCACTTTATGTGGATATTTTTCATTTGTAGAATCGTTTTTAGATATGGTGTAGTCAAACAAGCTAATAAAATGTACTTCTACGAAAATGTCAAATATACCAGTATTTGACATTTCTTTTGAAGGTTGCCGATTCTTAAAATTTCTTTTGAAGAGCAATAAAAGATCAATTACAAAATAGAAAAAGTATACAATATTTAAGCAAGCTTAATTTACCCCTTAAATAGGATACATCCCATGGTTTTTTGTTTCCTATTTCTTAATTTTATTAAGAAACTTAAATATTTGGCAATTATTTATGTTTTTTGTTTATCATTTTTTAGAAATGTTACTAAAATTATATAAAATTTTGCAAACAATAAAATTAAGTTTCTTATTTCTTGTTCTCGTTTTCAAATTTATCCAAAACATAAATAAAAATGCAATTATGTTTTTCTTTATTAAAAAAGAGGAAATAAGAAGCGAACAAAATTGGGAATGTTGTCAAACAGCCTAATTATTGTTGTTTCTCGTTTCTCGTTTCTTAATTTTTAAAAAATATTTATAAAAGTGTATAGAAATTTTAGAAATAATAAAATCAAGTTTCTTATTTCATGTTTCAAAGTTTTTTCAAAGTATTATTTTATCATTTTTTACTTTAAATGGCATAAAGAATGTCACAAAAATAAATATAACATAATTTTTTTAATATTAAACTTGCAAATTAAATGTCCACATAAATTTTTTTACTTTTTCTATTTACCAAACGTAATTATTATTTAGGTAAAGAAATAACAAACTACCGAAAATACCAAACCGAACATAGCTCAAATGGTTAAGACACCTATCTCTGACCAAGAGATCAGGGAGGTTTTGGTTGAGTTTAGTAATTTACCTTCTTTAATTTTACAGTGAACTCATTTGCGGACTGACCACTCCAAATGTAACACATCTGTCGCCTACCGAACGTTTAGATGGCACCAGTGGATTCAATATTGAAATCCTGGAATTTCGAATTAGAGGACTGTGGGCTTTAGAAATTAAATTTGGGCCATTCATATGCGAACTTGGGCTGGACACAACCTGGGCCGAATTATTTTGGGCCGGGCCGGCCCAGTTCAACGCAACGACGAGGTTGGGAGCTATTGTGTTCGGCGATCCAGCACTATAAAAGGGGTTTAAAACCCTAATTTACACCTTCGTCTTCCTTCCGCACCAGCAGCAGAACGCGGTTCGCAAACTCGGGGAGCTCCAATGGTAGCTTCTCAATCTACTTATTCACTGCTTCCTTTTCTTAAGTTTACTTCCTCCCGTGGTTGATTTTATTTTCTTTCCATGGGAACTTGTTGCGGTTATTAGGGGATCGATCTCGTCGCAGGAGGTAAGAGCAAGAAGACCAAGAGGACTGCGCCCAAATCAGATGATATCTACCTCAAGTTACTCGTCAAGGTACTTGCTAAGCGAGATTTCTCTTTCAAATGCGCCTTTCTTTGATTTATCAGTTGCTTAATTATGCTTGATTTTATGTGGGTTTTGTTTTGTCGTTCTTATAATTGTTTATGTATATCGGATGTTGGTTGCCGAACTAGTCGTCGTAAGATAGTATTGCGTTAGAACATCTTTGAGGTGGTATGTGCGACTCACATTGAAAGATCAATTGAAATTTCGGTTGATTTATTGGGTTTGAAAACGCAATATTTTGATTATTTTGGTCTCCCTGTTATGGGTTTGTTTGATTAATTTGAATTTATGTCGTTAAATCTATCGCCTTATTTTGTTTTTGTTTGTACGAATGAATTTAATGGCTGGCCTTTCTGCTTTGATGATATTTGTGAATCCCAGCTCATGATGAGACCTTTCGTAGGTCGGGGAATAGTATTTTGCCCACAATATCAGAGCCTTAAGTCCAGTTTTATTTGGTTTATTACATGTTTCCATGATTGAAGCTATTATTGAATTTACTATTTGGTGATTAGTATCTATGCAAATATAAGCATCCTTTTTAACTACATTTGATGTTCTGTTCTAGTTTTTGTAGATATTAAATGCTATGATTTGATATCTACACTATATTATTTTTTCGGCATGTAATGTTAGTATGCCTTGATAATAAAATTTTATACTTTTTGTCTTTGATTCTACTTTTGAAAAAACAAAATGTTCCCAGTGATGATTATCTTGACCATGCTAATTCTGATCACTTTCTGATTGATCATTTATTTGAATGTTCTGAGGGAACTGGCTCCAAGCTTTTAGACAAGTTTTCATGCTCATTTACATTTCTTGCGTTTCTATGTTATTTATTGCTTTCAAATAGGAATACATTTATGAAAGGCAGTACATTATTTTCCCTCTGACATGTGCTATTTTTCAACTGTTCAGAATTCTTTTCCTTTTCATATCATGAGGGTCCCTTCCTCTAATTTTGTTTTGTGTGTGCACTTTGGTTATGAACTTAGTGTATCTAATGTCAGTATTCTGTTTGTGCTTGAGAGAGAAGCATTGTTGTCACATGAGCATATGGTTGTCCTCCTTGCCTGCAAAGACACATATTCATCTAACTTGCATTCACTAATAAAATGATGCCTTGTCTATCTTATCAGCTTTACCGCTTCCTTGTTCGCCGCACTGGAAGCAAATTCAATGCGGTCATTCTCAAGCGTTTGTTTATGAGCAGGGTTAACAAGCCTCCACTTTCACTCTCTAGACTTATCCAGTTTACAAAAGGAAAGGTTAGTTGAATCATGTAATATTTTAAAATTATTTTCTTGGTTTTTTGATGATTGTGCATGTCTGAGATGTCTGTAACTTTTTCATTTTTGGTTATTTTAATAGGAAAGCAAGATTGCCGTCGTTGTTGGTACTATTACCGATGATATTCGTGTCTATGAAGTTCCAGCATTGAAAGTTGCTGCTCTGAGGTTTACTGAGACAGCAAGGGCAAGGATTGAGAAGGCTGGTGGGGAGTGTTTGACATTTGACCAGCTTGCTTTGAGGGCTCCTCTGGGTCAGAATACGGTATGGCGTTTCTTGTGGATTTTCTTCATTTAGATTAATAACTTTGTTAGGGTATTAATTTCTTTCATAATGTTCCGAGTCAACCTGTTTCATGTTCAAGTTATTTGTCCATTTGAATTCTAAGCACCGTGAGCTATTTTTAAGCTGGGAGCAATTTTGAGCTTTCCCTGAGAGGAATTAATATTCTTTTGGTGCATTTGCAGGTTCTCCTTAGAGGTTCCAAGAATTCCCGAGAGGCTGTGAAGCATTTCGGTCCTGCACCGGGTGTACCGCACAGTCACACCAAACCATATGTGAGGTCCAAGGGAAGAAAGTTTGAGAGGGCTAGAGGAAAGAGAAACAGCAGGGGTTTTAGGGTTTAATTTGAACTTATCTTTTCAAACTAATGCAATGCACATGCGGGTGTGTTATTTCAAACTCGATATCCAAATTTTGCTAGATTTTAGTTTGCATGTCAGTTGTTGTTCCATCACCGATGCCTGTTTTGCCTTAATATTGTGTTGATTATGAATTGATTGATTTAAAGCTATTCAACGAGACTCAATAGTTTATTTTGCTAGATTGTGTGATGGGCATTTTTCTGTTTGGTTATTTTGTATCAATGAAATTAGGATGAAAGAAAACTGGTGTTTCAACTTCCAATAGTGCATAACTTAAGGAAATGATATTCTTTGAGGTTTTATCGAATTTTTTTCCCATTTCTCTTCTCAGTTCAATGCTCTACTTTGATGAAAAGTGGTTACAAATTGTTAACAAATCTAAAGCATAATGCAACAGTTAACTGGTGGGAATATCTGTTGAAATTATAAAAAAATATTTCTTATAGATATAAGGCATAAAGCTAAATCATAATGCACTGTCAAATATAGTTCAGTAATTTTTGCTCTAGTGGGATGGATGCACGTTTGGTTTAAATAGCAGTAGATATTTGGGAGTAAATAGGTCAATAAACAATTACTGCTAGGAACTAATGGTAAATAATGAAATAAATATATAGATATATGATCTATATATATCTGTGAGTGTTCGGATTAACTTACGTTCATCTATCTTTTTTTCTTTTGGTTTCAATTCTTCAACTAACATTTGATAACCTTCCTTATTTTCAAGGACACTCTTTGCTGCACATAATCTATAATTTGGATCCATCAATGTTCCATAAATCACATATTTTTGCCATGATAAGGATATTTTTTTCTTTCTATCTCGATCATCCCAATGATAATGATATCATTGACAAACAGTTGGTTCTGTAACTCTCCTGGGAGCAAAATGTTTTACTGAGTGCATTATTTATAAACAAAACTTTGTTTATAGTCCTCCATCCTCCTTGTAACCTAACAAAATCTACAAAACCATGCCCCGAGGGATTGTTTTAATTCATTCTCCATTTACAAACCTTATTTCTTGCTTGTTCACATCCAGGTAGAATCTCCATATAAATTAGTTTTCATCTCTTTCTTTTCTTAATATTATTTTCTTTTTTATGTGAAAATAAATTTAGAAAGATACACAGATGCAGAAGAAGTTGAGAGCTTGGTGCTTCTCTCACTTCTTTCTTTCTTTCTCCTTCTCTCTTCTTTCCTTCCCTGGTTTTCTTCTCCCCTCTCTCCCTCATTTCTTTTAAAAATTTTTTTATCAAGGTTTGTCTCTCTTTATATTCTTCTCAAATTGTTCTCTCTTTTTTCTTCCCTATTTCTCTTCCTCTGTCTTTATTATTCTTTCCGTTTTTCATCCGTACTTCTCCATCTCTAAGTCGACCAAAACCACCGCAGGTATAGTTGGTCGATCAGAGTTCAAATACCAACAAGTTCAGTAACAGAATGCAAAATCAGTTATAAAAAATAAATCTATGAAATAAATATTTACTGAATTCATTCGACTCGGTAAAAACAAAAACAAAATCGGAATTGCAAACAAAAATGACCCTTACTTTTTGTTACTATTCTCTTTTATTCCCATAAATACAATTAGCATTCCAAAATTTAAATTTCTAAAAGCATTTTCCCCACAAATTTTGTTGAATATGTTGTATAGAGTATTTTGTTCATTTTTTCTACACTCTGCAAGACTTCTGTTGGTGTAAACTCGTTTTACTTCTTCCATTAATATTTTTCGAAGCTTTTATTTCCACTCGATTGTAATTTTTTACTCTTTCGTTTTACTTATGTTAGCTTGTATTTGTTTTGTTTACTCCTCTATTATATAACATAATATAACCTCACTACTACTATTCACAATTTCTAAGTTACTATTCATTAGGAATTTTTTACAATATACTATATTTAATCGATATTTCAATCTTTTTGATTTTATACCGTTCATATACTTTTTTTTTTCTTTTGTGTTTTCTTTTTATTGAACTCTTTTTCTAGGCGAGTCTGGCTGAAGATCAGTCATCAAACAAACTAGGAGACTATTTTAGAAATTTATTTACACAAAAATCTAAATTTTTCTAATTTTACACTTTTAGATTTTTGCAGGTAGGATTTTATTTTAATTCCGATTTTACCATTTGTATTTATTATAGTTATTTGTTTTTTTGAAATATAAAAGATTTAATTCCATAAATTATTATCATAATCTTTTAATTATTGTGGGCTCTGTACTACTTTTCAGGACAAATCTCTTAATTCACCCCCAATCTTCAAATACAATTCAAAATCACATAAACATTTTTTTAAGTCTCAATAAACATATATCTGTATATTCAAAAAATATATTTAAAATCACAGTATATATCCACTTATATATCCGCATATATACATTCAAAATCACTCTAGTATATATCCGCATATCCGCATATATACAAGTTGAGTTATAAGATATATCCTAATTAAATCACTATATTATATATCCTCACATATACAATATTTCACACCAAATCAGAGATTGAAAACATCTGAATGCAAACCTTTCAATCTAGAGATGAACTGCTCTGGCGACTGAGAAAAATGGAGGCGGCCAGACCAGAAATGAAGGCTGGCAAATGTCGGCCGAGGATGAAGGCAGATAGAAATGCTCGGAGAATAAGAACCAACGGAAATCTCTTTTCGAAGACAGCCGGAGATGAAATGTTCTTGCGACAAAGAAAGGCGGAGCCGACCGGAGAGGAAGGTAGACGGTTGGAGAAGAGGAGCGGAGGGTCAGAGAAGAGGAATGGATGGTCGGAGAAGAGGAACGGAGAGTCAGAGGAAGGAAAACCGACGGTCGGAGGAAGAAAAGAAATACGAGAAAGAATTCGAAAATGGATTGGGTTTTTGGGTTTTGAGATTTTTTAATCTTGGGAAGCATCGTAAGCACATTTTGTGATTTGACCTCCCAATTTACCCATTTTAAATTTTAATAATTATTTAATATTGAGATAGATCTAAAGATATAATAGTAATTTGTGTTATTGGTACCATTTTAAAAAATCTTTCCACAACAACGAACTCCACTCATATTCTTCGTAAAGCTCTTCCCACCTCAAAAATTTCCTGGATTCCTGTGTCCAGGTAGCGATTTATGATCTATACTGCACCCCTCCTGTCAGCAGATTAATTGCTTCCATGCAGTTCGACTAAAATAATCAACGACCATATTTGTAATAAAAGAAAATGGTATTCCAAGAGATAGCTTGGGTGACTTGGGACCTCAAAAATTCATTGAGGTCTTAGGTTCAAGCCACATAAAGGTAATCTAGGAAAAAAAAAATCAACTCTAATGTTATTTTTATTGAGATTTAATTCTGGTGTCATTTTTACTCAAAGCAACATTGAGTGGCATAATTATGTGATATATGTTAATATAACAAGATTAACGATGTATCAATTTTTTTTAATGGAAGAACCTAATTGAGAATTAAAAAAAAATAAGGATCAAATTGAGAAGTAGCAAAGAGATTAAGAATTATTTAGTATTTTTCCAATTTTTTATTCCACAACTGAACCAAAAACAAAGAACGACTTTCACACATATAAGCCTGTTAAAAAGCCCCAAGCCACAGCTAATGGAACTTTATGGTATCACCTATCATGAAATTTTGTATTCAAACATTCAGGTGAGCTTAATACCAAAAACCTTTGATGTCTTCCATATCTAGACATTAGGATGGGCGTGAGCATCCCAATTATAAGAATAAAAAGCTAAAGAACTATCGATTCCAGCCTATAAAAAAAAACAAGCGTACTAGACTTTCACGCACCCAACTTACTTAAGAAAACAACTCTAAACAGCAGCTTAGATTCTGAAAGATTCTATCTAATTCCTTTAAAAAATAAAACCACCACATAAAAAACTTGAGAAACACACCATGAGAGAGGAGGAGCAATATTATTAGCTAATCTGATGAAGAAGAAGCAGACTAGAACTAGAACTTTCTGATGAAGTCATAGATGTGAGTGCTAATCTCTTCAGGCTTCTCCTGATTGATGAAATGGCCAACTCCCTCCATTATCACAACTTCCTGCAAAAATGGCACATCTTTCTTGAAACCTCCACCATTAACATACTCCTTAGCTCCTGGGGTTGTGAAAACCATGTCAAGATCTCCAACTATGTACTTCACTGGCACTTTCACTTGCACCCCTGTCCATGGGGCTGTCAGCTCCCAGTTTCTACAACAAAATCCAAATATAAATCAGTCTTGGTTACTTTTTAGACCCATTGTAGTCGTTATGCTGTAATATTTGTGTCAATCTGGTTCCTGTTGTTCTAAAAGTTTCATCATTATTCCTATATTTTGATTTAGGCTAGCAAAATATCCTTGTTGCTAGTGGAGGGGCGACAAAAATTTAAAACTTATGCAAGTTATTACAATGAACAGGATCTTGTATCACCTACCAACAAGATTTTAGATAAATTGGGAAAATTTTGAAACACTGAATAGATGATGGATTCAGCCGAAACCAGAAGCATATAATTTGTAGCAGAGGAATTCCATGATGAGATGTCTTGTTTTATTGACATACAAGTTAGAACATGAATATATGTTAGATTTGAAGGCATTATTTGGGTTGTGAGGTAAAAGAGAGTTAAAAGGTCAACCCTGTTTTGGAGTGAAACTAATAATACCTCCTAAAAATTGATAATGAAACATTTCAAATAATGAATATTAAGTTAAAACTAAAGTTAAATATAAGTATTAAAGTCAATTTAAGCTAGCTACCATCCCAGAGGTTGATGGTTCGATCTTCCACCCTACAATTTTTGTTAAGTATGACAGTTTTGTAGAGGGTGACTTACAAGTCCATTGCTCTGTAGTAGTTCAATCCACCAGTGAAGCCCTTCTGCTCATATTTGGAGGCAAAGTAGGAAAGGTCTTCTTCTGAAAGCCAAGAGGGCAAGGCAGTTATGGTTTCAGGCCTGGTTTTGAACGCTTGTCCTTTGGGCAAAATGGGTGGGCCTGGCCTTCTTGTTGTCAATATGCCTCTAAGTACCTCTTTGGCACTCACCTGGGCCATTTCTTCTTCAATCTCTCCTGGATTCTAACACAAAAAATCAATGCATTTTGGTTAAACCCATTTCCTTCTTTACAGTTCTTCAGTTGGGTATGCCATGAAATCAAAAGAAAAGTTGAGTTACATTTCTAGAATCTTCAAGTTTTTTGAGGGAAGGCAGTTAATGAGTCGTTGTAGATTTAAGAAAGAGAACAAGAGCTAGCATCCAGTTGGTGGATTCTAAAAGAAGAACTGCAGTTAAGTGAAGCAGTACTTTCAACTTTCATCAAAAGTGTTTTTTAAGTATTCTTAGAATTTTCAAAATCACTTGATCATTCAACCAAAAACTTCGAAAGCCACTTCTAAAATTGGTCAAATGCATTTTTCAATGTTCTAACCGTCGTCCCAAACTCATGCCAAAACATAGCCTAAGATGATCAATATGTGTGGGAAGTGGTTTTGGTTCGTTTTACCATGGCAAAAAAGCCTTAGATTTTGAACAAACACCGTCTTGGACACTTGTGAGTACAATAGACATGCATCAAACACTAGTTACACAAGTCGTGTACTAATTCCAAAATTTGTTAGAAGACATAAATGGTAACGTCGGACGAAACTTAAAGAATTTGTGAGAGTGAAATATTTCAAAAATGTTTTTCTATGCATATAAAACTTATTAACCTCCAACTTACTTCTTGTATAAAAATGATATCATAGAACTAACCTGGAATCTACAGATGTAGTAATCATCTCCAAAAAATGCCCTCATGCTCTCAACTGGCTTCATCTTGGGATTCCTCGGCCTAAAGGGCACACTCAGACACACAAAAGCCTTCACAATCTCAGCTCGGAACAAACACAAATACCATGCGATCATGGCGCCCCAATCATGCGCCACAACGAACACTTCCCCAACTCCCAGCGATTCAACAAGACCGACTAAATCCCCCACAATATGCATGCAAGTATAGCTAGAAATCGGACCTGGCGCCTCAGAATCGCCATATCCACGAAGATCCGGCGCCACGGCGCGGTATCCGAGCGCGCTCAGGGCCACAATCTGGTGCCGCCATGAGTACCAGAGCTCGGGGAAGCCGTGGATCAGAAGAACGACTGGGCCTTCGCCCTTCTCGGCTACGTGCATTTGTATGCCATTGACGCTCACGGTTCTGTGCTCGATTCCATCCATGGCGGTGGGTGAATTTTGATTCCCTCTTTCTGTTTTGCTTGCTTTAAATAGAATAATGGTCAAGTGCAGAGAAATGGGCACACCAAATTGAATGGAGAGGTGGTGGTTGGAAGGGGGAAAGCACTATGCAGAGGAGATTTCGCAGCGGCATTAAAGTCATTGAACCTAATCCATTGTTGATAGTTCACACACATGGGGGCTTGCTTTCACCTACATCAAATTTGGAAGTAGGTATTTATTTGGGCCAACGTAGGATTTGAAGATTCGATCTCATGATTTTTTTGGTCGAAATTAAGTGTCTAAACCAATTAAGTTAAGTGGGGATGRAAATTCAATCACCAATGAGTATGTTGAAAATGTGTATGTATTCTAAATTAATTTATAAAACATGGTGAAAAACAATAAGTATGAAAAATTGAATCAATCAAAATTTTATTATATATATAAGAAAGATACAAGGAAGGATACAATTGAAAATTTAAAAAGCAATTTCAAACCACCTCTCAGTCTTCAACTTTTGTATCTGAAGGTCTATTAGATATTTTGTGATGTAAAACTACCAAAGTTAACCATAAAAATCTATTAGATATAATCCAATTAGTTCAAAGATAGATTAATTTATTTTTTTTAAATAACTTGACATAATTATAAACAATTTATTTGTTATCTATCAATTAAGCTGTTGATCGCATTTATGGAAGTTTTAGTTCCATTTGATCTTTGATTTACTAATACCATCCACTCTTCCAATTTAATTTTACAAAAGTCAAGTTTAACCAATTCAAGCTATTAAATCAACGACTTTAAACAATTTAATTCTGCAAAAGTCAAGTTTAACACATTCAAGCTATTAAATCAATGACTTTAAAAAGATCGTTGAATTTTTCCCCTAACTTGATAAAATGTATCAAATTTATGTTAAGGTTTCAATTAAGACCTTTGATGAGTATTGTAAATCTATAATCTTTACTTTCAATTTGATTGTAATTTCTGCTCATTAATAGACTTCCATTGGAAAATTGTTATTGAATAAAAAACAAACAAAAAAATAATATTCCTAAGCGTATTTTAATGAATTATAGAACATGCAAAACTGACGAAGATTTGACATGATGTCAATGAAGTAGTTTTCATCGTCAAAGGTATGTATCTCTTATTTTGCAAATAAGAGCATTGTTTATTGCTTTATAAATAAAATCCCTAGTTTGTAAATATTTTTTTATATTTCGTTAGATTTAAAATGATGCGATAATAAAACCATGAACTAGAGTTTAAAATGTCGAAACACATGTCAAAATGTCGACATGCTCGATAGACATAAGGGGAAAAAGTCAATTTTCCCCCAGGTCGTCAACATGTTGACTTAAATCTAGTTTCTAATCCAATCAAGCTTACATAATTGAGTGAAATATTGACATATATAGACATTGAAATAATCATAGAATTTTTTAAAAAATAAAATATTATTATATACAGGTGAAACATAGAGTAGAATAGGTAACTTGATGGAGGATCTAAAAGAGTAGAATATAAAACACATATAGATCTGAATTATATCCAATCACGAGGTGTTCAAAAATAATATGTACATTCAAATTTGAAAAAAGAACTAAAAAGTAAACAGATATTAGAAAACCAAGTGTAATAATCTCATTTCCAAATGAATCCAGTAGTCAAAAGTTTACTTTACATTTTCATAAGTAAAATGGACATTTAATAGTCAAACAATTATAAGCTAATTAAGCTACCATTCAAGTTTTATTTGTTAATTCAAAAAATTTCTATCAATTTCCACCATTTCCATTTTTTCCCTAAAATATCCATCAACATCGACATTTTAAATACTACCATGAACATACACACATGTCACATCTCATATGTAATACAATAAACATAATATACGAATAAAATAAAGATCTTCAGTTCAAAACAACTTTATAATTTCATATGATGTGAAGCACATGGTAACAGAAAATTGACCACTTGACTAAATTGAAGAACAAAAACAGACTCTAAACGAAATTATTCAATACAATCCAATCCAACACTATTTTTGAAATTCGTTAACAAAAAAAAAGGTTACTAAAAATAGAAAAACAAAACCTGGCCAATGATGATTTCTAAAAGCCTTCAAACTTCCCCAAGAACACCGGGCAACCGCCTCTCCCCAACCAGACAAAAATTCCACACACCCTTTTTAAAGAACCCCACAATTCTCCAAGAACAACAACAAAAACGAAATCTAGATTTCTTCCTTTCAGGCAAAAAAGATGAATCCCATTTCAATTCTCGTACCTATTTTAGTTCTATCCCTCTGCCAATTCCAAATCCTCGCTGATCAGCTGCAGCAGCAGCAACCAGCAGCCTCCGGAGGAGGAGGTAATGAGCTGATCACCAAAACCTGCACCAGCACCCCATACAAGGACTTCTGCATATCAATCTTACAATCTTCCCCCAAAAGCAATGGGGCAGATCTCTACGGCCTAGCGGAAATCCTAATGGAAACCGCAGCACAGAATGTGAGCAGCATATACGAAAGCATTAACCATCTACAGAACGACTCGTCGCCCGACGCTTTCATGGAGCAGTGTTTGGCAGACTGCTTGGAGAGTTTTCAGGACGCCATAGACCAGATTGAGGATTCGGTCACAGCGTTGGAATTCAAAGCCTATAACGATATCAAGACTTGGGTTTCAGCTGCCATGAGCGATGCAGCAACCTGTGATCAGGGGTTCAAAGACAGGCAAGGGTATCAGTCTCCTGTTGCACAAATGACCGCAGTTTTTGATCAGATTTGCAGCATTATCTTGGCTGTCACTCATCTCTTAGCCGGAAAATGATAGTGCCAGCCTAAGCAGAGTTCATCATTTGTTTGGCCCTTAAAATCTCTGGTTCTTTTTTAAATTTTATATAATAATATTATGATTCCTATGTAAACAAAATAACTACATGAAGATAACAAATTAACACCACCCAATGAATCCAGATCCCTTAAAGGGGACAACACTTGTATATTTCTACATTTTAAACCCAGTTCATACCTCTGGATCTTCAGTTTCCTTTCATTTTCTCTCGGACAGAATACTGCATAAGAAAACTTGATGAGAACCGATGATTAATCAGAGTAATACAGTTTAAGAAAGAATTTCATCAAAATCTCATAGTTTCTATGATTTTGCTGCACACAGAAAGCACTCATTCTTATTGACATTTGATATGATACTCGGCTTATGTAAACAAAATACATCCATTTCATCTTGTTAACGTCTGAATTTTCAGTTACCGTATATTTTCTATTGAACAAAATATACGAAAACTTGACAAAATTTTGGGGAAAATATGCGGAATACAATATTAAAACCAAGAAATGACCTGCGATTAACCATTTAAAGAATGAATCGAGTCAAAATCTCGTGGCACTGATGCTTACGTTCTTTTTGAGATTTGATACACATAACAATCTGCTTGTGTAAACAAAATCCATCAATGGAAATAACAAATGAACATCATCCAAAGAATTCAAATCCCTTCAACGAGGGAAAACGCCTCTGAACCATGAATTTCCATTTAGCATTTCTCGAACAAAGTAAATAATACGAAAATTTGGGGGAAATACGTCGAGTACAAGAAAAAAACCAATAAATTATCAGAGATTAACCATTTAAATAAAGAGTCGATTAAAAAATTCATCAAAATGGCGTAGTTTCCGATGATTTTCGATGGCCATTCACCCAATCGAAGACCAATTCGCAAAATTATTAAACAAGAAAATCAAAGGAGAGGAAAACATAATGTGGGGTGGATGGAAACTGATATAATCCAGTTACATTGGAGCACATCTCCATTGAATATATAAAGAGAAGGCTCAAGCAGAAAGGATGATTTTTGTACGCACAGATAAAATCCTGGAAACTACTTTCCGGAGAAACAAATTTCCAAGAAGAACTTTGTGCGAAATATTATTTACTAAACCCCAAATTCTGAAGAAAACGCTTTAACGTTCTAAACCACAGCGGCGCAAAATGTGCATTCGCGATGAACAAAGAATTCTTACAGGAAAACCCTAATTGGCAAACCCCTTATTATATAGAAGAAGGCACATGTTATGAAATGACGATAATACCCTGATTCCGCTTAATCTATATTCTAACCTATTAACCTAACCCAAAATTTAAAAATTAAAAAGAAAATCTCAAAATAATAATTCCATAATTCATGGCACCCAGCTTCAATCATTTTACATTTTGTTCATAGTGATGTTTATATTCCTAATATCTCTGGACAAGATGACGTCCACTCTATAAATCAAATTTTATTAGAACTGCTTGAGAGTTTTATTTTTGTAATTGAATTGTTATTTTTGTCTAGCTCTATTGTTTATGTTTGTGTCTCTATATTGTTTATCACATTGTGTCTTGATCTTAGATGGTAAGATCCATCTTTTTTTTTTTTGTTATATCTGAAAAAAATCCCAAAAGAAAAAGAGTAAAATGGTCTCCTTATATAATTTTTTCTTTTTATCTGATAGATCTCCAAACTATAGATGATGTGGCCATCACTGCTGAAGGTTGGAAGCTATAATTTTGTTAACATTTATGTATCTTTTTGGAATTTTGAGAAATTATTGCAAAGAAATAAAAATAGATAAAGGATAAGAGATGAAAAAAATAACATGCATAAGGGTGCAATCGAATATATAGTTTCAATAATGATAATTGTGCCGTGTTTCCTATATATATATATACACATATTTTCTTTTATTATTATTATATATTTTTTTTTTTTTGAAAAACTTTATTGAGAACTACTTAACACCAAAGTGGCTATTAAGAGAACAGGCAATCTCTAAGAGCCATTCAGGAAAATTAGAAAGCCAACCCACATTCAGTTCGAAATTAAATACAAAAATTAGAGAGCCAACACACATTAAGCTTGAAATTAAACACAAAGGAGGCAGTTTTATGGGCTGCCTGATTTGAAGACCTTCGAACATGGGTAAAAAATGTTGGAAAACTCCGTAGCCAATTTGTTGTCCTCGATCCTCAGCATCCTATCTTGCATTTTATGTGTTGATCTCTTTCTTTGATTTGTAAGGCATGAATTTTATTCTAAAATTGTAATTTAAAATTATTCTTTATCTATATATGTAACTTGATCGTAAATATTAAATTATAATTAAATTCAAACGTACAAACACAATTTATTAATAAAATACAAAATGTAAAACTTAAAACATGAGTATATTTTGCCTCTTATTAATATACGTTTAGTAAAAAAAGTTGAAAGTACCCATTTTAAGAGAGTATATATATATATTTTTTAATATTACAGGAGAAAAAATAAATTAGGTAGCCAAAAAGTTGAATAATTTACATGACACATAAATGTTTTCTTTTTTTTTCTTTGTTTTTAGGAAAAACTCGTAAATGTTAAACTAAGAGAATTAATAATAATAATTTATCAAATCCGAATGTAGTAGTGAATTAGTACTTTATCTCTATGATACTTTATCCAAACATAAGAGTACTCCCCAACACTCCGAACTAAGAGAATCTCCTATTTGCACATTTTCACCACAAATTATATACCCAATGAAAATATTTTAATAAAAATTTATAAAATTTAACAAGTGAAGGAAATTACAATAGAAAAAATGAGATAAAAACAAAGAAACCAAAATGGCGATTTATTAATAGTACAGGAAATAGGCATTTTAAATTCTTAAAAATACAAAAACGAAAAAAGACATTTTCAAATTAGATGGACTTGGAAGTAACTATCATCCAAACCTAATTTCTTCTATTATCAACCATAAAAGATCCTGAATACATACTTTACATACTAGAGAGAGGTAAGCAACTAAGCATTAGTGCAAATGATTAACTTTTCATCATTTTACATGGTGAATAATTCTCTCCAATCATTTCTAAAAGTCATACAAGCTAATCATAAGAACCAATCATCCCATCCCATCCCATCCCATTAATTAATCAAACAAGCAAATCATTTTTTTTTTTTATTTCATTTCAATTTCAATTTCTTTTCCATGAGAATTGATCTCTATTCATATGCATAAAAACATCCAAGGAAAGAAAGTTCACAGGCTTGAATGTCTCTTCTACTGCAACTGAACCCAACACCACTGTGATTCCATTCTATCAATGCCTCTTACCTTCATTTCAAACACAGCCCCCAGCCATCAATCAAAGCTAGAGTTCAAGAATTTCAGCAATTCATTTCTTTTGTTTTCCTCAGCTTTGTCTTCCTTTGATTTATCAAGTTTCAACAAAATCTGCACCAAAGTAATTAAAAGTCAACTTAACTATCAATAGCAGCACCATTACTGTGTTTGTTTCTAAATAAGTGATTTTAGCAGAAGTAATATGATTACTAGTAAAATGTCACTATTATGTTTGAGTTTATACTCTTAAAAGTGCTTTTTCAAGTATTTCCCAACAATCCCTTGGGCCAATAATACCCAAAAAGTGTTTTCTTACCAAATGCGTCAACACTTTTAAGGGTTTTTTACTTTTTCTAAAAGCATTTATAAATCACCCCCAAACATGATGAGTTTGAGTGAGAAGTCTGTTTGGTCATGGCAAAAGTACTTTTAGCTAGAAACAGTTAAAAGCACTCCAACAATTTTTTCAATGTTTAGAGATGGTTCTTTCACCTTTTTGCCAGAGACAGCACTCCGTCGGGCACCATCATCCTTCTCACGAGCTAGGAACTGTTAAATATGTGGAGCAACAGAAAAGTTGAGATACGAGATGCCAAAAAAAGAGAGAACTGAAAGTAAACAGGGCTATGAAAGGGAACCTTAGAAAGCTGTACAGGGCTGCTACTTCTCTCTTCTGGCTGTTTCTATACATCGACTCCGAATGCCAGGACAAATCCGCACAACAAACCATCAGGCAAGTAAATCAACAGCCCGATCATCATGCCACAGACCCCAACTCCAATTTCAAAGAACCAATCAGTAAATAGTCATAGAAGCATCTCACATTATATCCAATTCAGAAACCACTCCAAAAACAAAACCAATTATTGATCATCATGCCACAGACCCCAACTCCAATTTCAAAGAACCAATCAGTAAAAAGCAATAGAAGCATCTCACATTATATGGAAGCATCTCAGTTTATATCCAATTATAAAACCACTCCAAAAACAAAACCAGTCATAGATGTAGTCTAAAGATTGCATGATTAGAAACAATTAGATAATTTGACAAATAGATCATTACTTTAAGCTCTAGTCGAAGGATTTCGTGGCTTGTATTAAAGAGAGGCTCAACTTTTTGGCCTCAGAACTTATGCCTTCTTTAGATTATAGGTGGTTTATGCATCTTACATAAAATGCATTAAGAGGCTTAGAGTCTTTATGTCTCATTTGGGAGAAAAATATTATTTTGATGCTTATTCTTACAAAAAGTTAATGTATCTAATGCTATGCTAATACACCCACAAGGTGGGGTAATTCAGCCCAGTACTACTTTTACCACCAAGGACAAAGTAAACATCAAAGATAAAAACGTAAATAACTTCTTAAAATCTTTATTTAAGGAAGTGACAATATATAGACTTGATTTGCTCTGTACTTATTATGTTTGGTAATACTCGATAGCAAATTTTTATGATTTTATTAATAGCTTTTTATTTAAATTGAGGTTTCCATCTCATACCACCTCAAAGCTTATGTCTAAACTCTCCTAGAAAGGATTAAGAAAAAAAGGAAAACATCCACACTGCCTTTAGCCTTTCAAAACACTGAATACATGTGTTAAAAGCAACATCTACTTAATCACAATACATTCTGTAGTAATATGCCAAAAGAATGTAGATCCAGGTAAACATGCAAAGAGGTGATTTTCATGACGTTTCTCAGTTCATCAAAAAGGAAAAATAGTACCCAAACAGGCAAGTGGTCTACCTCTTTAGCTTTATGTTTACGCCTTTTATGGTGATGACTCTTACTTCGCTCTCTCTCCTTGTCCTAAAATGCAGAGAGATGGAGTAACATAACAAGGTGAAAAACTACCAGTGAAACTACAATATAAACACGCAAGGAAAAGACAAAATATAAACACATCAACCTTCTTCGTTCTATCATTCTTCTTATGCCGCTTTGAACGACCCGAGGTTTCAGGCTCGCTTTGAGACGAGCTACCACTTCTACATGTATATACAAGGACTTGTAAAAATTATCTTGGGTTCATGACATGTGCTATGCAAAAGAAATTAACTAGCACAACTCTACGCACAGTTCAGTGCAACATCACTCACTGAGACATCATCTTAGAAAGCAAAAATTAGGAAACCAACAAAAAGAATGAAGTGCCATTCCACCGTAATCCAGCGTTTACATCAAATAAATTTCAATGAAGGAACAGAAAGCCGATACATTTTTAAGCCTAAACCAATTGATACTTGATTCCTTCCTTCAAAAATTTAATGGGTCGACGTTACTATTTCTTATTTCTAGTTTTTAAAATCTAGAAGTGTCTAGCATCATCTATCATTTGTTTCTCGTTCCTCGTTTTTAAGAAACATTCTCCAAAATTTATATAAACTTTAAAAAATAAGAAAATATGGAAAAGGCAAAAAAAAAATATAATATAATAATTTAAAATGTTTTGAAAAAAATAATTAATTTTCATATAAAACTTTGATCATTTTTTTTAAAATTCAAATGTGAGGGAATGAGAACAATAACAAGAAATAGTTAACAAACACCCGACTTGTGTGTGTGTGTGTTTTTCAATAAAAACGGAAAAAGAAAAAGAAACAATTATTAAACACAGTTTTGTTCTTTTAGAAGTAGATAACAATAAAAAAAACAAAAACAAAAACAAAAACAAAAACAAAGAAACAAAGAAACAAGCTCGAGCCTTAAATTCTTAACTTCCAGAACAACAAAAGCCATAAATTTCAAATTCTGAACACGGGAGTTCTCTTTCCAAGCCATATCCAAGCAGTTCTCATTAACAAAACAATTATGACTAATAAAAGTACATATATCGCATGAATTCCAGTAAGAGATCGGGAAAACCAAGAAAGAAAAAAAAAATTCAAAAAAGGCTCAACAGAGTTCCTTAAAAGGTAGAAAATATTGCATACTAACTTAGAGAAACTACATTTTCCAATCTGTTTCAACTCTAAATCAACCACCAAGGTATCAAAAAACTAAGTGACAAAAAAATGAAAAGCACAATAGGGAAACCAAAAACAAAAAAAAAAAGGCATCTTAGTTATGAGGTTACCTGGAGTATTCGGATTCAGAGTCAGAGGAAGAGAGGGAATCGGATGAGGAGCGGCGGTGCCTGCGACGGCGTTTAGAATGAGAGCGACTCTTCTTGCGAATCCTAAGGGCGTCCCGATCTTTGTCTCGGCGACTTCTCCGCCGGCGGCGGCGTCGAGAAGAAGAAGACGATGAATCGGAAGTGAAGGATGTCGCCGACGAAGACGAGGCGGCCATCGAAGAGAGAGAGAGAGCTTACGGTTTCGAAAACAGAAAACCCCAAAGGGCAAAGGGCTAAGAGACAGATGTGGGGAAAGGAATCGTAATTCCTAACACTTTGGGCCTTTTATGGAAATTTAAGTTCAATATCCTTTTAAAATAATAAATAAATATGAAAACAATTATTAAAATACTATTTTTTTCTTTACTTTTTCTTTTTTTTTTTTTTTGTCAAGTACAACATTGTGGGTGGAAATCTAATTCATTACTTTTTGGTCAGATGTCTAAACTATTTGAGTTATGCTCGGTTTGACTTTACTTTCAAAGTATACAATTTCGTATTTTCAACTTTAGTTCATTTTATTTTTGTCTCTATATTTTAAAATGTTCGTTTTAGTCTATGCATTTTTAGAAAATGATTATTTTAGTTTTTAATGTTAGTTTTAATCTCATTTTTTCTATCACAGTTTCAACATGACACCTACATTGAATATATTTCTTGAAATATAACTACGACTTTATTTAGTGGGTTCTGTGTATTATCTGTGATAAAATTTTGAAAATACGATCAAAATGATCACTTTTTAAAACTACAGTGATAAAACGAACATTTTAAAAGTACCTGTACTAAAATGAATCAAAATCAAAAGTACTAATAACAGAATAAACATATTAAAAGTAAATGGACCAAAATGAATGAAAGTATAGAAAGCAAAATAATATTTAACCAACAACAAAATCATTTTTACTTCTTTCAATTTGATAATTGAGTCATAAACTTAAATAACTCTGGCAATTTTTACTCACTAATTCATTTTTATCAATTTATCCACTAATTTTGATTAAAAAAAAGAAAGAAAATAAAAACTCCCAAACTTACTAATTTAATAAAAACTAAGCTTTCCACAAATTAAGTTTGATTAATAAATATATAAAATCAACCTTTAATAAATAATTTTGTAAAAACTTAAAAATTTAGGAAGAAAAAATCAATACTTAAAGAAGAGTAAAAATTACAAGCGTTTAAAGTGAGAATATGTCTCACACTACTATATTTATTTTTAGTTTCTCCTAATAAATACTACAAATAGACGAAATCTATAATTTGAATACTACAAATAGACCAAATCCACAAAATTTTTCCAAGTTCTTCCTTAGTTTTTTCCTTTATTTTTTCACTTCATTTCATTGGACTCATAAATTGTACACAACCCGATTGTAAGATCACTTTTGATTTAATATAAATTTAAAATTATATGATTCATTTGGGATGTGTAAGTGTTAGATTTAATATTTCAAAAAAAATATCAATTCCTTGCTGAACAACTTAACAGCAAGGTGGGCAATTGTCCCCTTCGTCTTCCGAAAAAGAAAATTAACAGCAAGAAATTGATGATTTTTTAACAATTTGCTAAACAACATTTTGGAAAAACACCATTATGGTTATTTATTACTTTATAAATAAAATCCTAAACTTGTCCCAATTTAAATTGAGACAGATTTAGGCTTTTATTTTAATATTTCGTTAAAGTTTAGAGTTTTGATGGATTCAACTAAGAGTATAATTTGATTTTTTTCTCTCCTTATTTTACCCCACTACCTTTTAATCAACTTAGTTTATTTAATTATTTATACGACTTAGCCCTTAAACTTAAAATTAAAAAAAAAAATAAATACATTTTACCATGCATTCTTTTTTTTTTTTCTGAGACAGATTTTACTAT